GCTGAGTCAAATAAATACTGGGATTATTTTAACATGCAAATCCTTTGAAATAATGCATCTTAATATAAGTAAGAACCTGATACTATCTTATTATTAAGACATATGATCAGTTACAGTTATTAGAGATACATGACCACATCATCCCTATTGCCTTAGCTGACTGATAATGAATAAATCACCAGGCATTTGAATGACACCATCCTGGACCAGCCAAGCTTCAAGCTGACTGCAGACATGCAAATCGACCCAGGAAGGACCAGCAAAGCCAACCTAGCTGCCTAGGCAACCCATGGGATTCTGAGAATGAATAAATGTTTGTGTTTTTAAGTGACTGACTACATTTTGGGGTGGTTGTTACACATCAAAAGCTAAATGTTATAGATGATCAAGGTAAATGTGCCAGATAGCTTCTTTTTGCCCTTTACTCTGCTCCAGGAGACTGACCTATATGAACTGCACCATAGGCTTGCCTTGCTTTTGAAGATTAGGAGGAGACCGAGGAAGGTCAAGATATTGATTTCCTGACCTTCCTCCCTGTAGTATCACTGTGTTACTTGACCAGTGTCCCAGTTCCTGTCAGGTAGTCCTATGTACCCAGCTTCTCTGTGCTTGGTAAATATTCTCTCCCCTTGCCCCTTCTTGTTTAGGGGTGGTGTGGGGGCTCCGATGTTACTGAGACTCTCTTGTGATCTTTTTAATCCCTGCCCACACCTCTGTTTTGTGTGTGTGTACGTGTTGTTGTGGTTGTTGCTGTTTTGAGTCAAGGTCTCACTCTGTCACCCAGGCTGGAGTGCAGTGACATAATCATGGGTTACCACAGACTTGACCTCTTGGGCTCAGGCGATCCCTCCATCTCAGTCTCCTGAGTGGCTAGGACTACAGGCACACACCACCATGCCTGGCTAATCCTTAAACATTTTTTATAGAGTTCTCACTATGTTGTCCGGCTGTTCTCAAACTCCTAGGCTCAAGCAATCCTCCTGCCTTGGCCTCCCAAAGTGCTGGGATTACAGGTGTTAGCCACCACACCCAGCCTCCTCTGTTGATAGTCTTTTATTACATTTTCTTCCCATTTTCCTAACGTGATTGTGCTATTTTCTGCTGGGACCCTGACTGATAGAGTAGGCCATATGCAGAAGGTAACATCTCAGCAAAGACTTGAGTGATTTGATGGGACGAGTCATAAAGATATCTGGGGGAAGTGCCAGGGTCTTGCAGTAGTGAGGAGACAGGGTGGACAGGGTGATTTTAGTGGAGTGAGCTGGGGAGAAGTGTAGAAGACAAGATCAAAGAGGTAGAAGGTGTGTGTGTGTGTGTGTGTGTGTGTGTGTGTGTGTGTGTGTGTGTGTGTGTGTTTGGGCTGGAGGTACGTGGTGCATGGGAGGGAGATCATGTGGTCACGTGTGACCTTGATGGCCTTTGTAAGGACTTTGGCTTTTACTCTGAAAGAAATGGGGTGTCCTTGGAGCCACATACTCACATCTAATTAAATCTAACAAGATTGCTTCTATTATGTGTCGACAGTGGAGCTCTGTGATTCAGTACTGACTCTCCCAGTCTTGTGCCTAATGATGAATGCGTGGGCGTGTGGAGCCAGCCCAGCATGCTTGGGCCTGAGTTCAAGGCTTTGTGTCTCTCCTGATGCTGTGGGTGACATGACCTTCCTTGTGGTACAGGATTCAGACTACAGTGTCTTTTTTTTGTTAGCATATTCTTTTCAGTTCTGTTAATGATTTGGGAGTGGACACATTTTTCTTACTCTTTCTTTTTTTGTTGTTGTTAAAGTCAATAGGCCCTTCTATACTGACTTCAAAAAGTGTACTTATCTAAAGGGTCTTGTACAATAGAGAACTGCTTAACTACTTCAGTGGAAATAATACAAGGAGATGAACAGCGAAATGCTATCTGCCTGCCTACCTTAAAGACCTTGGTGTGTCTCAGATATTTAAAAGGGAAATAGTTTGTTTGCATGTATAATATTCAGAAAAAATAATATAGATTTCATGTGCTTTAATCCTTTAATTGAGATTTCCATTTGACCTGGGTCTTCTGGTATTATGTCTAGGTCACCCTCTACAGGTTATATGAATGAAGTTGATTCTCCTCTCGAAAACCCCATGAGGGCCTACCCTCTTTGCTATTTCTCACAAATTCTCTCCAGGCTGAAAATCAGTGAGCCACTTGTGAAGGGCTCCAAAATATCCAATCAAAATTTAACTACAAATTGTAGCCAATTCCTTCAGGCTCCATTCTTTGCTTTCAGCTCAGAAGAAAAGCAAGCTATTTAGCTAGTAAGATTAATTAAACAGGCAGAACCCTTTTCCTCTTGGCAACATAGGTGACCTATTAGAACTTATTTTAATATTTGTAGTCCGGACTTCACCTTAATTTCTTTTAAAATTTGTTATTATTATTAAACATTTTTCTAGTCCAGTACAAAAAATTGGCTGCTTTAGTGGGCACGCAGTAGAAAGAAGACTGGACCAAGAGTCAGGAAACCAGAGTTTTATTCCTTTTTCTGACATGTGTTAGCCACATACCTTGAAGATGACCTTTGGCCTTCTGGAATATTAGTTTTCCTTTCTAATGAAAATGGCAGGGTTAAAGTAAATTAGTGAAACAAAAAAAAAAATTTGGGATCCAACATAAGGCTTTAAGGTCATTAAAATAAAATTCTGAACAACTATAACCTACTAATTATCATTTCATATGAGAGAACATTTAAAATAAAAAAGTATACTCTCAGAAAAATGACAGTACTTTAAGTTGAATAAATTCATTTTTATGAAAACTTAATACATTGTCCTTTTTAAAAATTTCAGCAGCTTTCAGTGAAAACTTTGTCATGGACTAGCAACTACTGAAATCCTTTATGGTTCTAAAAATATATCCCTGTAGTCTTGTCTAAATAAATCTGGTGGCCTGGTGGCTGCTGATTTGTTCTCCAGGATGAGCTGGCTCCATGAAGCTCTGGGATATGTTTTTCATCTCAGTATCTCCCATGCCTAGCACAGTGCCTGGTATAGCAATAGATTAAATAAATTAAAAGGTGAAATGACCCCTGCTGTACTGCAGTTACTAAATGGAAAGGCATATACCCAAGGAAGAAAGGGTGAGCCCTTGGACTTTCAGCTTAGTCCAAGATCTGCAACAAACAATTCTAGGACTTAATTTTAACAACCTAAGTTCCTTGATCTTGCCCCAAATCTGAATCTAGGTAGATGTCTACTATGTCCTGATTATTTATGTCTTCTCCCCAAATCCTTATGTTGAAACTAGCGTTCAATGCAACAGTATTAAGAGGTGGGGCTAAAAAAGGCCTGAGGGAGCTTGTTTGCCCCTTCCACCATGTGAGGACACATAGAAGGCATCCCACCTGTGAGGACCAGGTCCTCACCAGACACCAAATCTGCTGGCACCTCCTCAGCCTCCAGAACTGTGAGAAATACATTTCTATTGTTTAATTACTTGGTCTAAGGTATTTTTGTTATGGCATCCTGAACAGACTAAGACAATTCTTAGTGGACATTTCCCTATGTGCTCTTAAAACCAGGCTTTCTTAAGTGGGCATTCCCCTATGCCCACTTTCTTAAGTGGGCATTTCTTAAGTGGGCATTTCCCTATGTCCTCTTAAAACCAGGCTTTCTATAACAGAGGAAATACATTTATTCATTGAGAGCCAGAGTGCCTGGATTCAAATTTTGGCTTGGCCATTAGCTAGGTGCATGACTTTGGTTCAAGCTGCTTCCTTATTTGTAAAATGCAGGTAAGAACTGTACCTGCCTCATAAAATTGTTCTGTAGATAATTGAATTGATATACTTAAAACAGTGCTGTTCACATAGTAATATGTTTAATTACAGTTTTGACTAATGAGCCTCAAGAAATGCGAGAATAGAAGAAGAAAAAAATTTAAAGTACTGATGCATTTGGAGAATATCATCAAGGTCCATAATATCAAAATGGTAATTCTAACCTTATAAAATGTCTTTTTCCCAAAGGATAACCGAGGTTGACTATATAAGCAGGTGCAAATTGATTTAGATAATTCTTACAGAATGAAGCATCACAGGTTATTGGGAAAACTGATGATGGTCCTTGGTATATAATTATTTTTCGTAGGTGCAGGGAACCAAATCCTTCCTACAAATGGGGAGAAGAACTTCTTGTCAATACATTAAAGTGACCTTGGAAACAGAAAAATACGAATGTCCAGGCCTGGCAGCTGAGATATTAAATTAAAATCTCCAGAGATGGGGCCCAGGCACTGCGTGTGTGTGTGTGTGTGTGTGTGTGTGTGTTCTGTTATTTTTTTAAAGCTTCTCTAGTTCTTCTAAAGATGTCCCAGGGTTAAAAACAGCTGGGTAAGTCCGATTCTGTAGAACAACTTGCTCTTAACTCTTTTTCATCTCGTATGGAATTTCCGCTTCCATCCACAAGCACAATTCCACTCCCTCATAACCCTCTCTTCTCATTTTTTTCCGCTGCCTCTTTCAGCTTCTGTTTCGTTGGACTGGCAGTGTGTTACAGCCTTCCCACACGGGAGCACACCCCCTCCTCGGGAGAAAATACAAGTTTATCAGTCAATATGTAACAGACAAAAATAACAATAATAGTAAAATGGCTTGCGCCAGTTCTCCCCAAATTACATCAGCAGAGACATCTGGGCTAGAACGTCCTCACTGCTACCCAACAAGTGGCTGTACCCGAGTAGCATGGAGAGCTGCAGTGTTCTGTGTTGGCCAAGTGAAGTAAAGAGACCAGACCTTTCCTACAAGGAAAAGACCAAAGCTCTCTTCGCAGCAAGTCGGATGCCCTGGTTTACATTTTCTGAATCCTTAAATGTTATCTGTACTATTTCACCACCCCGCCCCCCCGGAAAACCAATACCAAGAAGCTGCTTTGCATCGTCTAAAGCTGCATAGGGGCAAGCTGCCAACAGGACTACCCGGACACGCTGCAGTGGCATCTCTAGGCAGGTTCCTTTCATCTGCCTTCCCTTGGGCTAACTCCTCACTGCGGCGCTGCCCCCGGCCAGCACCAGCGCGCGCGCAGCCCTCCCGCACCCCCGCGGCGGCGGAGGCTGGCTCTTCCGCCCACGCCGCCTTCCAGCCGCAGTGCGCGGCCTCGGCCCCGGACGCGCGTGCGCGCGGGCGGGGGGGGGGCGGGCCGAAGCCGAAGGAGGCGGGGCGGACCCTCGAGGCCTACTGCCCATTGGCTCTCTCCCGTAGTCCCCGCCCCCGGGCGTTCGAGGCGGCGGGGCGGGCCACGTCAGGCAGCCGGCGCTGGGCTGAGCTTGTGGCAGAAGGGAGGTAAGCCGTGCGTGGTGGCGGTCGGCGGGCC